CAACATAGTTCAGTGCGCAGTCCGAGTCAATTGGGAAATAAATTTTTTACAGTTGTATTTGGGCCAGATAAGGGAGGGGCCGATACTGCTCATGCGAATGGGCTTATTTATTGGTAGTCTGAGTATGAAAGACACTGTGTACGCAGTAGAGGATGATGGGCGGCCGATTGAGCGGGTCTGAGTTGGCTTCTTCTGCAAATGGAGCCCATGAAATCAAGTTGTATATAGTGATCCTTTGTTTGTACGGAGTACACGACGGATCCACTGCTGATATTAAACATTGCCCGACTGACAGGTTTTGCGTACGGCTACGGGGTGGTAGTTAAAACTTAGGACTCCTTTGTGCCCATGTGGAGTGCGCCAGCTTCCTGGGACCAGCTGGAATATGAGGTTGCCACTGGGCGGTTTCAAAGTAACACATCCAAGATAACAACAATCAACAGCTGGATCAGAGGAGTGATAATCTATTCCAAAATCTGGATGTAATAGTAGCGGGGCCCGAAGCGTTCTGCTATTATTTTATATACTGATGTACCGTATATCTCATATTGACAATCGGGCTTACCCCAAAATAAGTTCGAGACGTTGACGAACTGCAAAAGCAATTGAGTCAATATTAGCTCTGAATAGCCTGGAGCTTATGCTGCCGTGTAAGGCGGTGTTAGAGGAGGAGAAAGAGGAAATATTGAGGATATTAGCATGGTATTGGCTCGATATCCGTACACAATGTACTGTACTATGTGCTGGTACAAGATACCCCCCTTCGTCAATACTACACTCACAAATGGAAAAGAAGTATCCATGTAGTAGTATTATAGGTTAATCAGTCCTGCAAATTTATAATACCAAAGGATCTGTGGGAAAACTTCAATATATCGTCGGCTGATTGTATGCTCAATTCTGTGAGGCTATCCTAAACCAGCAACTCAAACTCCTGGTAAGGAATACTAACAGGCCAAACAATTTCACAGATACTCCGTAGTGTAAATTCCCGAATAAAGATATACTATATCTGCATTAGTATGCCTATTGTATCGTCAGCGAGAGTTGGAGGTGTGGTTACTTAGCGAGGGCAGCGAAAATGTGGGGACTAAACTGCTGGTCTTCCCAATATATGATACTACAAAATGTTACGAGCAGATGTGGGAACAGAAGTCTGGCCTTGAAAGGGCTTTTAGAATACAGTAATGACAACAAAAGATGGTGGTGGTGGTGTCGGACTGACATCATCTGCGACGTTGGGTCGAAAGAGTTACTTTAATGCTTCATGTACAAGACGGATCAGGTTAAAATCGAGGGATGCGATCATGATTCCCTGAGCTCAAGAGACCTCGCCCCAATCTACCAAAATGATAATTTCGCCCCATAGAAGCCCTCGACCTCCGATATTCTTCCGCCTGAGATGCGGTTTGGTCGAGTTCTGGGCCGGTGGGAAATAGTATTAATCCGTCGCTGGACGCAGAAACAAAAAGCCGGTCCTCCGCGTCGGCGCGATCATCCAAGTATGAAACTATATTCTCGTCCCCGAGCCTTTATCAGATTCAGCGATCCTCATTTCTGTAATTCAGTCGCGCGATCATGTTTGCTGAGTCTTGCGAATTGCGCCGAGGGCAATCGGCACTAACCCCTTCAAAACTGCCCCCCGCCCAGGCAGTTTTAGCCTGTAAAACCTTGCCTGCTGTCCTCGCGTCTTCCGTCCTTCAACACTCTCCCTCTTACATCTCCCGGAGCGTCGCTCCAACGCCCACCCACACATTTCATGAGCGGTATTATCGTTTCTCGACACAATGAATTCCCGCGAGCATTCTGATATGCCTCCGACCGCCTCCTACCCGTCCCCCAACGCGGCGCAGATGGGTCAGGGCGCTATGCAGTACTACGCGAACCGCCAGTTGACAGCCGACGAGCTCTTATCCGCTGAGCTATCCCGCGAAACCTCCGGCCCCGGCCTCGCAGACGGCTCTAGCAATGGCGTTCATCATGGCCAATCGATGGTCTTAGGATCTTCGAACCCTGGTGGTGGTGACATGGGTCGTCCCTCGTCTCCGGACCAGCATCAACAACAACATATGCTACAGTTTACCCCCAGCCAGCAAGTCGGTGTCGACCCAAATCACGACTTAAGTTACGGAGACCAGAGCGCGAGGAGAAAAAGATCGAAGATTTCTCGCGCCTGCGACGAATGCAGACGCAAGAAGGTACGTTCCACCTCACCGTTTGCCTCCAGACGCGACATTGTTTTCGATGACCTAACCGCGTGCTTTCCTAGGTTCGCTGTGATGCAAGCTCTGAATCTGGCGTGGAAACCTGCTCGAACTGTCGCCGACTTGGGGTTGTCTGTCAGTTTAGTCGCGTCCCCATGAAGCGCGGCCCCAGCAAAGGGTAATATTTGTCCTCGTTTCCCTTCTGATGATGCTGTCGCGTTCGGCTGACGATATACCATAGTTACATCAAGGAGCTTGCAGAGCGCCTTCACACCCTTGAAAGTCAAATGCAGCCTGCGATGGTTCACCCCGATATGCCTTATCAACCTATGAACGAAGTGTCGTCACCCAGAGCTTATCAAGACTTCTCGCCACCAATGGATGCAGGCTCTATTGGGCGCAAGCGGACCTACTCTGTATTCGAAGGACTTCCCAGCTCCTCTTTCACACAGCCGCAATTCAATTCTCGCTCTCAGAATGCTTTCGGTTCGTGTCCGTCAAACATAGTGTGTGATCTTACCCTACTAACTATACAAGACACAGGAGAAACCTCAACCGATCCGTACAACCCGTCCGCCGTGAGCGGTACAGCACCAAAGCCCGGTAACTTATTCTGGACGACCGGTAATGAGACGGAGCTGCCACATGGACTAGAGATGCCAGAAGTACCTAAGCAAGCTATGGAAGAAGACATGACTCCCTTGGATGTGGATGAGGGATCCCTCAACGCGTAAGTCCACCATAGACTTGGTATTCCAAATCTCCTTGAGCAATACCCTAACTACATACAGTTATTATCAAAAGATCCATCCCGTCTTCCCTATCTTGTCACACTCCAAGGAACGTCTACTCGAGATTCTACATCAGTGCAGCCGTGAGGTGCAGGAGATTTTCCTTTACAGTTTGTACACTGTGACGCGTACCAACATGGATCGCGTTATAAGCACCTTCGAAAGGGTCACGTCATTTGACAATGCACAAGACCTTCTCTTGTACTATACCCGGCAGCCAGCTTTGGCCCGCCCGACAGGAGTTAACTTGATCTGGCTCCAGACCATGTTACTAATGATCCTCGATTGTGATTCTCGGGGACCAGACAACTTTGTTCTCAAGGACGGCGTACCTAAGCATTCCCTGATCCAGTCGGCCAGCAAACTCGGCTCCGATTTGGCCAAGGGTCTTGGTCAGCTGAAAAGCAAGCGTTCTTCAGACCCGGATGTTGATTCAGAGGCAAATCTTGTACGTCGCAATTGGGTGGCCTTGGCAATTTTGTCTCGCTGGCATGCCATCAGCGTAGCTGACCCAAGTATTCTTGGAACGTATGAAATCGGTGGCCGTGAGGATGAAAGAGTTGTTGGCCCAATTACCACTGGCATTGGATGTGAGTGAGACCATTATTCCCACGCTCGAAATACCGACTTGACTAACATTAGAACACACAGCATACTCTACGTTCCTTGTGGAAATGGTCACACTAGGCGCTATCGAGAATAATGTTTGCCAAACAAACACTGGCCTGGGCCGCATGGTCGGGGCAAACATGGTAGCATCACTTGAGCGTCTGACCCAAGTCGAGGATTTCCACAAATCAAATGAGACCTTGGAAACTGCAGTATCTCAAAGCTTTCTTGAGAGTCTACAAAACCAACTTGAGTGGACCATCCGGTTGCTGATCAAACGCCACATATACGTCTACAGTCCCTATGAAATTATTCACAGCGCTGTGGAAGCCATCAATGAGATCCACAAGTCGAATACACAGTCTCGTCTTACAACGCCATTCGATCTTCACAGCTTAGCTTTAGCCTCTATGACTTTGCTGGAGGCTACCGTCATTCCAGAGCATGCGAACGAGTGCTGGGATGCGTTGAAAAAGGTCGAAGAAATTCTTGACTACCGTGCGAAGCGGAGCACTGAAGCAACGGAGTTTAGCGATATTTTTGCCACTCCTGGGTGGGATTCCAAGATCCGGATATTCTTGGAATGGAGACGGACCAAGTCCCAAGAGAGCCAACTCCAGGATCCCAGCCTGGGTAAGAGCGGCTCTGCGGTTCCCCCAGTTATGGGTCCGAACGAACAACGGTCCCTCCAGCACCTGGCAGATCTTGCTGTAGGTGCTGAAGGCACCGTGGCGGCTAACTCTGGATCCCCACCCCCTGGGCTCTCGACTGAGAGCAATCTGAATGCCACCTCGCCGAATCTTACTTCTGTCTCGCAACCGCAGGGTCGTGTTGTGGTTGACTTTACTCTCCTCACCAAAGAGGGATATCTCAACGTCTTTTCAGGTTTAATCTACCGCCGGTCTCGCTGAGACGCGCTTACTGACGACGGTTGGAGGGTTTTCTTGGCCTATGGGAATATTCCTATTCCTCATGAAAATCTATTTCAGTTGTAACTTAGCTGCCTTGTAGTTTGCTTTCCCGTCTCCTCTACTTTTCTCGGAAAAAAGAAAATAACATTTTCTATCTCTTATGGCTAATGGTATCTAGCGGGCTTATTGGTGATTCTGTATGTATTTATAACAAGTTGACAGTGATATCTATTTCTTTCTACGTGCCATAGTTGGCTTAATTCTGGGTAATGAAAAGTGCGATTTGACTTTGCTGGGAAGTACGAATGTAGTATAACGCCAGCAAATTTTGCAACTGGCATAGATACAGGGTCTAGCGACTATGTCATACAGACTTGAAGGTCATATCATATATGAGCTGAGGGAAGCTTAACCATGAGATAAATTGAAACCAGAAGAACAAAATACAGGAAGCAAAGAAACAATTACTTGCCCAATGCAAACCTTCTCCATATTCCTTCCACATCCTCACAAAGCCGCAAAAACCCGTCGTCTTCGATGCGCCTGCAGATCCAGTTCTCCAGCTTCTGTGTACGCTCCGCAGTCGGCGACGCCAGATATACTGAGAGATCTGCTTCAGTGAGGAGGTTATGTTGAGGCTCCTGGAGACTAATAGTTGGACGTTGTTCCAGAAGGGAAGGTGCATCCTGCTGGATCGCAAGTGGAGAATCGTGAGTAGGTAGTATGTGTGGTGTAGCGTTCGGGTGTGTAAGACTAGGTCTGTGGGAGGCTTGACTATGGGTAGGTTCTATTTGAATGGGCGGTGGGTGTGTGGATGGGCGGTATCTGAGCGTAATAACTCTTGAATTGTGCGTCTTTTCTGTGTCTATTTGGTTTTGGGGTAGTGTCCGTGTGCTAAGTGTTGGTTGTGTAGCTAACATAGAGCTAAGGTTAGCTGGGGAGGATGATATCAAGCACTTATACAGCATATAGGACTTATGGTACCTGTAGTAGGCATTTTCTTATATGCGTCTGTGTGTGACATGGTAGAAGCTCGTGGCAGCAATGTTGGAAACGGTCTCTTTGCCTGTTGTCTGGGAAATGGCAGGTCTCTTTTCGGAGGTAAAATCTGATTGAGAGTATGGCTGTCGTGACAAACTGTAGCTGATGAAGGTCTGGACGCTGCTCCAGTTGAGGTATCGTCGCTCGAGGTGTGAAGTAGTGACTGTCTCATAGGAGCAGTAGCGCTGTTTGAATTGTGTCTTTGGCTGTCATTGAGCGCTGAGTGACCTGGAAAGGCGGTATATGAGGATAGACTCAGTTCGCCTATAAGTCAGGTTAGATGAGTATATGGTCAGTGTTCTTAAGCCAAGATTGAAGCGGGTTACCAGGAGTAGGGTCTGGTGTCATCACCGGCAGACTAATTGCTGGTGGATATAGTGGGGAAGGTGGAACTCTCAGAGCAGGAATAGCAGCTATTCCAGGTGCATTAGAGAAGGAGCCCACTGAATGAGGTGCAGGTGGCACTGGCCCTGTAGGCCACTGTGATGAGATCAATCTGCGAGCCCCTGGCATTGAGCCAGGATTTGACTCTGAAAAAGGGCACTTGATATCACTGAGTATGGAAAGCGCACTGTAAAAGTCACGCTCTAAGGAGAACTTTATCTGAAACCGACGAATCTGCACTATGTCAGATAGGGGATCCCGAGCCATTGTATGTCGGTCAAACGAACATATCCATTCCCTTCTGGATATTTCACCGCGAGGCATGGCAGCTTCACGACAACAGCAAATATTGGCTTTGTTTGACCATGTTGACTTGACTGAGGCTGATTTATAAGTTCTCTTAAGAGGTTCGTAATATCAATCTGCTCCTAAAGGAGTGGTTGTATTAACGTTAGCAATATCTACAACAATATGTATGACTCCAAATCTTACAAGAGTGTCATGGCCACGTAGGACCTTCAGCAAAATACTACTGTGGAGAGGTGCGGGCGTTGCGTGCCTTTCGAATATGCAGGTAATATCACCATTTCCGATTATATGGCTCCAATTAAAAGGGCCTCTGTGACTGATAGAGGTAGTTGTATAAGAAAACTTCGCCAAGGACAAACAAGCGAGCTGTGTGCCCTCTTGGGACCGCTGAGTAGGGCGATACATCCTAGGATGAAACTATATATGAGAAACAAAGACCTGTGAAACCTAACCATTGACTATGGCTTAAAATGTAGACGTAGCCCTGGGGCTGTACTTCAGTAAGTGCTAGTCCTAGTACTTAGTACTTAGTGGATCACCTGAACTGTAGTAGTGGTTGACAAATGACTTAAGGAGAACCAATCATTCGAGACGGTCCCAGCATATAATGAACCTCCTACTAGTAGTACCGATCACCATTAATCCTAGCATCATGGAAGCTTTAGTAGAAGAAAGTGTTATCATAAAGAAAAATTAAAGTAAATGGTACCGCATCGTACAATAGCGCTCCACTTAAACTACCCGGCAGTACTCCGTACTATAGTAGTATGACATCTGGGGCGTGCATCTCCCATCAAGCGATTAGATTGTAGATCCGGGGAACGTTAGTATTTGCCTTGAAAACAAGGCTGAGATTAGATGACTCAGCAGGACAAACACTACAAACATTACAAACATACTCAATAACGGAAATACAGATAATCCGGAAACGCGCCTGAGGCCTGCCTGGTGTCCTGGTTGCTGGCTGTTGCGCGGACTTTTGTCTGAAATGGTAGGACGGATCGCAGGATCAGCGATCAGCTTGCATTCACGAAGCCCACCAAGGGCCACAACTTAAGCATTGACGCTCATATTTTAATTATTCCTGTCGCCAATTGTTTCCATTAGCCGCGCAGGGTCGTCGCACCGCTTTCCTCAATACTCTGTGACGCGGATTTCTGTTTTCGTGCCGCAGTCGCATCCTCTTTCCTTCAACAGCCAGTGCTTTCCCGATAGCTTTGAAACGCGCCCAAAATCCACGACTTCACGCAAAGTGTAGACCTGTTCGAGCTCGACAGTCGGCCCTGTCTCTACAGAAGAACATTACCCTACCCCTCGTTCGCTACCGGATCCCCGGCTTGAAAAGGGAAAAAACGAGAAGCCACGATCACCCCTCTACGTTCGATTTGCGCGTTCTACTCCGTATATCCAAAAAAAAACACGGGAGAGACCGATATTCTGGAGTCAACACGAAGTTGCCCAACAACTACTGCTCCCAAGTCGTGTGAGTTTGGCTTTGGGTTTTCAAAGGGAGCTCAGTAAAGAAGAAAGCTCCAGTATTGGAACTTATTCAGATAACCCTTCACTCAGCTGCGACTAGCTTGGGTTAAGTTGAAAATGAGTACTGCTACACCACGCACGTCCCTGCGTGGTAAGTGATGCCTTTCTCCTTTAATGAGACTACCTTTTCAATGGTTGAGCTTATATTGACTGTCAGTAGAGGGCTTGCGGCAAGCCCCAAAGGCCAACCAGCCATTCATCCCAGATACTGCGCCAGTTAGACGCTCACATGTGCACGCACACCCCCAATCACCACAACCAGTATCAATGTCCCAGACACACGCCAACTCCGTCGCCTCAAATAGCCCTCATCCCACAGTCGAAAGTTGGGAAGGGAGGGAGCAGAAGGTTCCGATGTCCACACGTGAGGTAGCCACGCCTGGAAATCGGCCAGGTCTGTTCATTGGCCTCAACGACAGAGGAAAGACAGCGAAGCAGCCTGACTTTTACGACCCATACTTTCCCCTCAGATACTTGGAGGTACCGAAGTGTACGTGGGCTCGCGCTGTACCGTTTCAAACCTTGTAGGCATAACTGACACTTTTTCTCAGCGGATCATATTTACAAACGGGCCCATTACGGCCTACAATCAGGAATATCGGATGAGGTTGATTTCGCGCTGTACCACCTTGTGCAAATATCCAACCAGAGATGGGATAAATTCAAGTTTGAGGGTTTCCCACTACTTGCAGAGACCCTGATGGAGAAAGCCATAGATGTATCCATCCTTTGCACTGGCGTGAAATGGGAACTTCAGTATGATTTTCGGCAACCCACCGACCGTGTCAATGTGTTGAACTCACTCCACGGCACCCGAGATATTTTGGAGAAGATTAAACAAATACCTGTAACCTTGCCAGATGACACCCTTGAGACCTATGAGTTCAATCACCGTCTTCGAAATGTCAAAGAGGCCACATTGGTTCTCCGGAATATGGTTCTGCTCAAGGAGAACGCTTTCTATGTATCGCGTTACGCCAAAGGACTACTGAGGGACTTTCTAGTCATTCTAATCAACCTCCCTAACCAGCCACGTCTAAATGAAATTAAGAATGACGCATTGGATATTGCAGAGGAAGTTACGAAGTTCATGAGGACTGACCCTGAAGACCCCCTTTGGATCTCCTTGCTTGGCTGTCTCGAATCACCAGACCGTGCCCACGTTATTCGCGCCCTTTGGGCTCTTACCCATTTTTCAACGGAACTAGACGACCAGGAGGCAAATCGGGCAATGGAGCGTGTACCAAAAGATACTCTGCAACAGTTGTACTTCCACACGCTGCTTGACCAGGATAGAGATATCCTAAGCGGCGCACTGGACTTCTGGTATCAGTATACGCTTTCTCGGGAGAACATTGAAAATTTGATTGATATTTTCAACCTTCCTATTGTTTTTGCGCCGCGCATGATCGCATTGTTAACGCACGATGCGCGACCCAGCAAGAAGGAAACAGTTTTGCAAGAGGAGAAAGTGGCACCACCCCCTTCGGAAATTCCCCGTGTCCCCCCAGAACTCTTGAAAGACCTAATGGAGCTGTCTGAACCCGAGCGCAGCTCTCGATGGCTGCGTTGTTGCTTCGTCGAAGACGCTGATTGTGAGATCACTCAGATCGCCCTATGGCAAGCGTATCAAAGCCGTTTCGCAGACCCTCGGGTTCCTGGCGGGGGTGTTCTACCGGCGGCTGAGTTCATCAAGAATGTCAGCACAACTTTCACAAACGCACAAGCGCAGGTCATTAACGGACCTGGTGCAACTACCAGGTTCATTATCAAGGGTATCAGACCTCTGGAGACTGCCTACACTTTCCAAGGCTTCCCTTACCTGTACTGCAAATGGACAGATAACTCGAAGCCTTCCAAAACATGCCAACGCGCCTTTAAAACGCCAACCGATCTTCGCAACCATGTTTTCTCGGACCATATGAACCTTGCCACGAGTGGTGAGGAGCCGGGTCACTACAATCTGGACAAAGCCGAATCACCGATACACACCTGCCTTTGGGACAACTGTACTAAATTCCGCTCGTCTGGCCCTAGTGCTAACACTGCCATGGTGGCAGGCCACGTTTCTTCACATTTACCCGAAGAGCGACCCGCAGATGCTGAAGCGCCATCTTCAAAACGTCCTGTACTCCAGGAACGTATTGTTCGTAAATGGTTCTACCTGGACACACCCGTCAATGAGAGGGGAGAGCCCGTCGGAGTGGCGTACAAGGCTGCATTAGTCCTGCGCAATCTTGCAAGGAATCTACCGGACCGAGTTGCACAGCAACACGACGGTCTATCATGGAAGAAGGCCGTATTCCTAAGCCATCGCCCAAGGATCGTCGAGATTTGGGACCGTAACCGGTCACTACGCAAGGAACTCACCGAGTTAATTATGATCCTAGAACGAGAGGAATATTACTAAATCCAACAGAAAAAAAGAAAAGAAAGAAACAAAAAATCAACAAGGAAATTTATTGCCCAGTCAGAGCTTCTCTCAAAGTACTACCTATCTATTTGCTAAATAAGCTCTCTCGGCACTCTTTGGATCCCACTCTCTATCTGTCGTATCATTCCTCCGGTTCACCCCCCTTTCCTTTGCATTATCTTTCTGCTATGTGTTGTACAAATACCCTGCATTTCCTCTGATATCTCTATTTCAATACTATTATTAACTCGGTTAACGAGTCTTTTCTTGTTTTCCCATCCCTATCCATGTGCACGTGCACTTTTTGCTACTTTCACGGCCATGAACGTATGTATCGGGCTTGTGCGAAAGCGCGGTGGAGTTGAGTTCTATTCTTGTCTAAGAGATCAGAGACGAATCTGTTAATGTCGGGAGGGCTAATGTAACTTGACTCTACATGGCGTCTGGGTTATGAGGTAGAAATGGTGAATGGCTGCTAATCTTTTTTTTTCCCGCTTATTGTGACACACTATCTTCTATCCATAAATGGTTTCTTTTGCCCTCGGTAATGCTGCATTTGCTCTTCTTTCCATGGTGGACTTGTGTACTATATGGAGTGGGTACGTAGCTGAGTGAGGAAATCTGGATTCCCCGTCTGCTAGATGGTGGGTTTGTTCGGTTGTGTTGACTTCTCTGGATGCTTGTATAAGCCATGGTTTAACCCAACGGGTGTTTCTAGACTTTTATAATTGAATACAAGGATTCGAGTATATCTGTCGTCGCGTAGTGTCATTGGGTAACCAGCTTCACAGCTCAGGTCAGGCACCGAATCGTTGGCTAATGGGCTAGCAGGGTATAGTCCATAGTACCATAAACGTCCTCAATGAAATTCTCATAGTTCAGCCAAGACATCTCATTGGTAGCCACCGGGCACCCAAAATCAACCGCATCCCAGACACTAGGCCAAGGACCAAGCTCAACAGTCTCCGGAAGGGTCACAAGAGGGGCAGCCTCAGTATAAGCGCCCGTACCTGGGATAATATCCCCCGCCAGGGCCGCGGAGGGCTGCATACTGGTCTGAGAGCAAACGGGCACTTGTAAGGGAGCAGCAGTCCCAGGAAAATGCGTCGAGTATGGGATGGCATCTGATGCCGCCAATAGTTCATTTCTTTTTGCTTCTGCTTGCGCCATGATTTTTTCCATCGGTTTCCAGATCATCCCTCTGCGCGAATCGGCGATTAGGTCGCCCATGTTCTCGTATGCTTCTCGGACCGGGCCCCAGAAGCTTTCCATTAGTGAATGATCCTCGCAGACGCACAGTTCGGCGATGGCTACGGCGAGTGAATGCCAAGGGACGAACATGAATTCGCACCATCGCCATGGCTGGCCTCGTGGGTCGTTGCGGACGGCTTTCGACTTCTTCAGGACGTCGACGGCTATTTGGAGAAGACGGTCTCCGCGGACACGGGGAGGGACGAAGTTCGCGTTTCGTTGTAGCGGTCGGAGGACTATTAGTTGTAGGGAGGCGCTTATGATCTCGGCTACTTGTCTGACGTACCAGTGGAATGGGATTTGGTCTGGTTGGGAGTTCTGGAGTAGCTTTGAAGCTGTCTCTTGGAATTCGATTACGAGCTGTTGGCGCTTGTTGACGCAACTCACGGTTTTGTCGATGAAGTCTGAGAAATTGAGCAGCCGAACGGTCGATTGAGCTTTCAGGGTCACCATGGCGAAGGTCATGTCTGTGAAGCCCCCGGCTTCTGGTACTGGGCCATCCATGCCGAAACTGATATCGCAATCGTTGACGTTTGAGGGTGGGTTTGATTCCACCCATTTCGCTTGCATCATGGGCTCTGATGCGCGCTCTAAGGAGCACTGTATATCGAGAAGGCCAATGTAGGTCCACAGACGTCGACGCAGTTCATGTTCGAACGGTCGTACAGGAAACGGTAGCTCGGGGAGGTGAAGCAAAAGTGCTTGGGCAATACGGAGGGCCATGCTCAGCATAGTCCAGACCCGTCGACTCGAGTCTTGCGACCGCGAGGCTAGCTGGATTCATAATATTGTTAGAGAATGTTCTCTAAGGATGGTAATAGTAGGGAACAAGAGCACTTACCAGAAACAGAACAAAAGCCTGCAGGATAGCCAAGTCATTGCTAGTCATGAAGTCCGCTTTTGCTAAAGCTGCCTCTGACTCCTGTTGGTACCGTGCCACGAGCCAGCCTTTGTTGCAACCAAGTAAGTTTTTACTCTCATCTTCCGTAATGCTGCATGCTGCTGCAAAGTAGACTGCAGAAGCAAGTGCAGCAGGAGCCGTATGTCCCGGCCCATAGTCGAGGTAGGGTTTACCATCGAGTAGAAATGCTTTCAGCGAGGGGGCATGTAGGATTTTGAACGCCGGGTCAACTTTCTTTAAAAAGACCTGAACTAGGTTTTTCTCGGCCTGTATGGTGAGATTTGGCTCTGTAGTGGCCATTGACGAACCAAGTCCCCTTGGTGTCGCAAGAAGCTCCCTAAACTTCATGGCATCACTGCTAGAAGTACGGCCCTCATTGATTGAGCCATAACTTTGAGTACTGCGTATATCGTGTATCTGTTATTGTGTCATTAGAGTTATGTTTTCTAAACAAAGTTATAATAGAGCCATTATACCTCTTTTAAAATGTTTGCCCAAAGCGAATTCTCTGTTCCAGACTCGTACTTATCCGCTTGCTTGTTGGCAGGCGCTGGATCTGACCTGCCCGAGCTATTGGAATCGACCTGTACGGCGATTGTGCCGTCATCATGCTCAGTCAATTCTCGAAGTAGCTCTTCAAGTCTATCCACACGCTCTTTCAAGCCTGTGTCGTGTCCAGAAGCATTCTTCCCTGTTACCCTGCCAGAGCGGCCTCGCGGCAGTCGCGCCCGTTCAACAGGGACACACGTAGCGCCGAAGCGCTGGCAGTTCGTGCAAGGGTTAAGCTTGTCGCACTTTACCTTCCGTTGGCGACACAATTCGCAGCTCAGCCGAACCCTGGGCGTAGACGTTATAGGCTGGGACAATTCCTTCCCGGTCGATATCGGCCTGCGATAATCCGCCATCACGGGAGCACAACGCTATTCGGTATGCGAATAAGCCAGGTTTCTATGATTGGGTAGAATCAGTGGGAGTGAGGCATACGAATGTAGAACATTAGATAGCACAAGGGCCCGTTTAGTCTTATTATTTCAGACGAGTATAGATACCGTCAACAGTTGGCTGTGGTCAATATTAACTTGTTGAGACATTGTTAGATTAAGGTAGAGAGATGTGGTGCATTCGCCAGTACTCACTAGGAGTAATTATTGCATGTCTATAGGAAGATTTCGCCACCAAGCATTGGATCAATAACTGGCGTTGCGCTATATAAGCCCGCCGAGATTCTAAAGTGGGGATCTTTAGTTAGTTAGCCAGGAAGAATGATCAGTGAAATTAAGTTAACTAAGTAACTATCAAATACATAAATCACATCGTAACTTCGCTTTCGGTCCGACCCCACGCCGCTTTTCCCAACCAACAAACCCGCTAGGGAAAACAAAGCTATTACACCCAAGAAATGTCAGATAATAGTACCATTCATAATAACCAGCGTCATATTGAACGTTATGAAAAGGCCCCTAAGGACAATTATGAACAATTTCTACAAAACAGTTTGTCCATCAAAACCGCCATTTTTACAGCCCTAACTCCATATCCCAAGTCATTATCAGATGAATGCAGGTTTCCAGTGTCGCATAGGTAAAATAAAGTAGAACAGGGAATCTAGAAGTTCAAAGGCAAAAATGGAAGACGTGAAGGGTGTAAGACGAATGAAAATAAGAAATAAGAAATAAATTGCGATTTGGCGCTGAGGTCTAACATAACACCACGTATGTGCAACTTTGGTCAACATAGGAGGGGAAACAACTACTCCCATACATTAGAAAATAGATCATCAGCCCCGCTAAACCCGCCTGCCGGTTTAGATGGAACGCTCATATTTGTAGGGGCTGCCGTCGTGGATGAGATAGGTGCTGCACTGGTCCAGCCTCCGAAGTCTTCGTCTGCAGCCACTGTCGGTGCTTGCTTCGAACCTCCGGGTGGGGAGGTCGGAGCGCCCCAACCGGCCCCGATGTCATTGGCAGTCAGGGTATCGGGGACCTTCATCATCGATGAACCGGAGGGCTGAGCAGCTGGCGCAGGATCCAGAGTGCTCCATGCGTTACCTCCACCCCAAGGATCTATGCTTGCCGGAAGTGCGCTTGCGATAGATGCTGTTGTGCCGGACATGCTATGTTTTGGCGCTGCAGACATCGGAGCGGGCGCAGGGGGATTAAGGTTAAAAGCGGCCTTCAGTTCTTGCTGCGGTGAGGTTGCTGTCGGTGCTGGAGGGGAAGATACCTTGGACGAAGCAACGGGAGCAGGGGATGTTAGTCCGAAGAGATCATTGGATAATGATGCGGATGGTGGTGGTGGGTTCGGCTTAGATGGTGGAGGAGACGCGAAACCGGTGAATCCCGAGTCGAACCCATTGGAAGAAATCGACGTAGTACGGGACTGAGGCTTGGCTGCAGGAATAGTGGGAGAGGTAAGGCTGTCGAACAAACTACCCCCACCACTGCCGGCAGAGGCCGTAGGGGAGGAGACCTTCGGAGCTGCAGGAGTGGACTTCTTGGTGGCGAAGCTTGTTAGATTAGCAAATGGAGATGGCTTTTCCGCTGGCTTTTGAAGCGGTGGAGAAGTAGTCGATGGGAAGCTAAGTCCGCTAAAGGCATCCGTGAGACCACCCAGGTTAGAAGATGACGATGCTGAGGGCGGCGCAGGAGACGCCAGGTCTCCAAAATCTCCAAACGAAGAAGTGCGCCCATGTTGCGCTGGGGCTGGCTGAGGCTTTGAGTAAAGAGACAGGATAGACTGCTTCAAATCGGGCCTAGAAATGCCAGTGGAGGCACCCGGGGTAGACACCGTGCTGGACGGGTGACTGTTGGTGGCCGGCTGGGCGCTGCCAAAGAAGTCAAGGCCGAGCAGAGAGTCCCCAGGGCGTGTTGGCTTAGGAGCAGACTGAGGCTGCTTCGGCGCGGCTCGTGGTGTAGGGTCCGTGGTGCTAGGACGGGCTGGGGGAGCGATATCATCGTCAGCGAAGAGGTCGATAGATGCTTGCTGGCGATGCGCCGCCGGTGGTTGGCTAGACGTTGCTACTCGTTGTGATGCGGAACGCTCAATCTTTGCCTTTTCCTGAACAACAGCAAGGGGCTACAGAATATATTGTCAGTCCTAGTCCACCATAAGCAGATGCCAAGAATCTTACCACATCGTCATCACCATCATCTAGCGTGGAAGGGTCGGGCATCGGGCCGTCCATGATCCACCGCTTGGATTCATACTTGGTCCGAATGAAGTTCTCAATTTTCCTAGAGCCAACCCTCGTCAGCAACAAGTTTCTAGCCTGCCATCCGTATTTTCTCGGCGAATCCACTCACGCTTCCGACGGGACGTGGCCGGGCGCCAGTTTCGCCTCCCAATATCTGCCCAAGTCATTAGCACGCTTGCTTTTGCGAAATACAATGCCTAATCGAAGACACACTTGTTCGCTCTCGCATTACCCCATCTCACCACGCTCTGAAGTTGTTCGTCGGTCCAGGAGTCAAGATCCACGGATTTCACCCGGCTGATATGTGTGCCCATGCCTCTATGAATACCCGAGCAACGGATACAAATGAATATCCCCAGGTTCCAGGACGCCCATCGTGGATCTAATGAGACAATTGTCAGCTAAGCAATCCATTGCCACCGACCACATGTAGATGTAAAGTATATCCAAGTGTACGGCGAATTCCGGGGTACTAACGCTTGTTGCGCTTGCAATCGGCACATATTTTGTTGTGTTCAAGTTTCAGCAGACTCTTGATAGTCTGCTGGTTCTGAGCAGCCTGGCCCGGTGTCGCACGTCGAGACATCACAGTAGGAAATGCAGTCACTCAAGAAGCCGAGAAGGTTTAAGGGGAGGCGAATGGAGAGAAGATGGTTGAAACACGGGGACAATCTCCCGTCAGGTGGCGGATGCGGTACTTGACAGCCTCAGGCTCCAATCAATAAATGTGGATGCCCGATTGGGTGGGTGACACGTGCCGGGTGTGCAGTTCATTGAATGCATTGAATTCACAATGGTCTATTGAAAGAATATCTTAGGCATAGTTTTCCAGTTTGTGATAACTTTCTAAAGCTGTTGCCTTAGATACCTCATTCAATGATTCTATTTCCCGTCGCATATGATCACATGCATATATTACTACTAGTACATAGATTGACCCTTATATCATGAACTATATACTCCGTACCGGGGCATTGTCCTGGCCGCCCCACCTTGAACACAAAGCTTCTTATCAAAAGATCTCGACCAAGAGAGAAGAATGCTCCTAGTAGACAGACTTTAAGGGGATATGTGAATTGAGTCTGATGATTACCTTTAAAATGACTGCACGTTTATTGATAACATTATGTACCTACAATATCAACCAGTACCTACTCTCTAGAAGCTTCGACCACAACACCCCTCTAATTTCACATCCATCAACGCAATAACTATGCCTCCCAGAGCGAACAGCTCAATAAATATACACCTACCCACGCCTACCATCAAGATACACCAAGAAACCAACCGACCCCGCCCCCAGCTACGCCTTCGCCTTCGCCTTTACATCATCCCCCTCCTGAAACCTTAGACTAACACTATTAACACAATGCCTTTCATCCGTCGGGGTCGGAAACCCCTCCCCCTTAAAAACATGCCCCAGATGACCTCCACAGTTACTGCAGACGATCTCCGTCCGCTGCATCCCAAAGGTACTATCCGTATGCCTCGTCACAGCACCAGGGATAGAATCAAAGTATGCGGGCCAGCCGCAGCCGGACTTGAATTTGTGTGTCGCCTTGTATAGCGGGGCATTGCACCCCGCACAGCTGTACACGCCCTCGGAGGGGTAGTGGGAATCATACTCGCCAGTTCCGGGACGCTCGGTGCCCTTTTCACGGAGGATGCGGAATTGTTCTGCGATTTTGAGGGATATTGTTAGTTGGGTTCTAGTTGCGTGGGTTTCTGGGACGAACCTGGGCTTAGAACGCGCGCCATTCTTCGGCGCTGCGCTGGTCGGGGTAGGACATGTTATTGTTGTCGGTTTCGGGTTTAGCGGTTGAGGTGAAGAAAGAGCCTAGGAATGGGAGGATCCCTGGGGCGGCTTTGAGTGTAGTGGACTTTGAGATTGGGAGGGATGATCTGTTCGGATGTTGAGAAGCGGCTTTCGTGATGAGGGGTGTGGACCGGTATCTGACGGAGGAGGTGAAAGTGCGGAGGGCTGTGGAGAAGCGTTGGATGCGCATTAGGGTTGTAATTATGAAATAGAGAGTAAAAGTTGCGCAAGATTAGTATTGAAAGTGTAGAGAAGTTTAACCTCTTTAGAACTAGAGAAGTCGATTTAATGTATTTGTCCGATTTGCCTTAGCATTTTACGTCATAAAATCCCGATTGCGGAGAAAATTAAGTGAATTGTTCCAAGGCTCATCTTATGGCATAATTCATCCAAGATAGTTCTTCTGATAAACTATACAAGTTACAATAGAGTCCACCGTAAAAAAAATTGACAATATCAAATGTCTACTCCAAATGCATAGCTAGATGATCAATTATTGTAACAGGGGTATCTCGACAAATGCAGCTCAAGGTTCAACGACGTCGCACCACCCCAACAACAGTCAAAACTCCTTCGCCTACTTCCACTTTCCAGCCTTCACGAGCCAGCATCTTACCCACTGCAGGACCCAGGCGTGACGTCCCATCATGACTATGTCGCCCGAGCCCAGTGACAATGCGATATCCGGACCGGGCTATTTCACCACCGCGCGTGTATTTGGCGTCTCCGAAAGACTCCCACCAATCTGAGACCCGTTCATTGGCAATGCGAACCGCATCTTGCACCGAGACCCCGTGAAGATCTAGCATATTGTGCGTTGACTGCGAATCTACGAGGGCATCTGCAGCTGCGGCTGCGTCCCGCTTTGCCCGCTCTAGATGGTCTCGTCCGACTGCCGAGTAATAAGCAGCGGCACCGCCCATCAGGCGATCAGACTTTCCGCGACGATATGCCGCCGAGGCTTTGGCGAGTGCTTCCGAACCGGCAGCAAAATGAGCCCCTGCGGAACTGCTTACACGATCATAATCTCGAATGACCCGCGGCTCATTCCGTCGCCTAGGCGTCTCCACTTCGAGATCGACTGGTGGTGGTGAAGTAGTAAATTTAATCAATTCAGACACTGATGGAGTTACTGGTCCGGCCAGCATTGCAGCCGCCAATTCACTAGCGGCTGAGACGGAACTTCTCGTTATTTTAAGTAGACCTGCGAACGTCGTGGGCGGAATGGAAGGAAGCTCCTGGATCAGCTCGGCAACTTGTGCCTCTGTAACTGTATCTTGACTAATGGCCCGCTCGTCTTTCGGTGCATGTGTCTCTGCCAGGGACCGAATAGTCGCCGGTAAAGAAGCCCCATTAGCATGGTAGGTGGATGTAACTATCTCCTTCTTCAGGACAGGGGAAGTCCTGGAGTGAATAAACTCGATATCCTTTTGCGCAGCATCCCACTTATTAACAGTACAGGGTTCATCCTGCAAGAAGCAGTCTGCCTCAGAGTCCAAGGGGGACGAGCGCTCATAGTTTCGACCGCTCTTAGTTTTGCCTTTGCGTTTGCGGTTCTTCCTTCTTCCAGTTTCCCCATTCGAGCCATCTTGAAACCCATCAATGCCTTTAGGGATAGCAACCTTATCCTCGTCGTCAATTGAGGGTTGTTCGGAGAAGAAGGTAAGGTTAAGCAGGACGTCCATTGAGCGATCGACATCCCCATTAGACTTCCGCAGCGCATGCTGGATGTTGAATTTATCAACAGACGGAAACATTTCCGACAAGTAGCCAATTTTATCCTCCTCAGTTGCACCCGATAGACAAAGCGATCCATCTGCACTAATCGTATAGGACACACGTTGGGATATACTCTTACCGTTGTGCGAGCCTTTATCGCCTACGCTGAAGGAGGAAAACTCCGATGCTAAGCTGGTGATGTCTGTTTCACGCGATCGCACTGTGCCGTTTTGCGACACGCTGTTTTCCGACGGGATCCCTTCGGAATCAACACCATTTGTACCCAGACCACTTGTACCGGACGGATCAAATGGAAGATCTTCCTGTTCCCATGCAGACAACTTGAGGGTGTCGAGGGTTTCGCGAAGCTGCTGGAGCTGCGCCGAGTCAGAGAGATCATAGTCACAGGCGATAGCTGTAAATAAGGCTGGGTCAAGAGGCGGACAATAATCCTTTTCCAATTCCTAAAGAAGCAGAGACAAGTCAAGCAATCAGCTACCAGAGTCCCGACTTGAGTCATATCTCCACGGTGAACGCGAAGGGTGTACAAGAACTGACTCTTAGCTTGTTATCGGCTTGGTCAACCATCTTCAAAGTCACTAACAATATGTCGGAGATGTATTAGGGGTCTTCTAAGCATGCCTCTGAGGCTCTGGGAATTCCGGTACTTGGGCAAAGGAATCGGGGTCCTGCGAATACACAGTTGTTGAAGTGGAAATCGGGGGGAAATTGTGTTTGCGATCGAAATCGAGGATGTGGGGGAGAGTGGGAAATAACGCGCCAATCATCGATGACATAATGATCTGGCAAGCAGTAACATATTGGGAGGAAATGTTGGCCAAGACCGTGGACTGGACAACCTGATCGGAGTCATACAGTAACCAGGAGTTTGGTTATAGATTCTCCGAGAGAAAATGGGCCAACAGCAGTCCAATGTTTACTTTCCTCGATCTAACCAACAAATTTGATCATCACACCCCTACGATAATCCTGAAACACAACGCTATCTCTTTTTCTCCCTATCTTCCACACTCAAATAATGTAAAGCTTTCTTGACAGTCGTATCGGATGTCTTGCCTATTAGCTTCTTTAATCAGATCGCATTTATTGTCGAGGTCTCCGGCCCTGTATGTGCAGCTGTGTCCAGACCATCTGGCGACATAGGAAGGCCGCTCACTTTCAGTTCATCCATTAGTATCTTTACGTTCGTGAGTCTCTATTGAGTTCCAACACAGAATCAGTGGAAATTACAATGTTCAAACACCTCGTTCAGATTGAACCTCGATTTAACAGTCAGCTACAGGTAGGTCCATAGATACTCTCCCAGAGCCATGATTGCCATGGCCTGGCCGTACGGCATGGCAGTAAGAGGGATATCCTTGTAAAACTGAAGATCGTGGCCCATAGGCGTGCCAAAACTAGTGTTCTGGAGCTCTCCCTTTTCATCTACATCTTTCAGCACAGAGAAGATAGCTTTCTCTCCCATATCCCGGTACTGCGACCCGATGTACCGTCTTCGTACAGCCTTCAGAATACCATAGGCAAATCCAGCAGTCGCTGATGCCTCGAGGTACGAGTCCGGGTGATCAATAAGCGTATGCCAAGCGCCCGATACAGATTGGGACCGCTGCAGTGCTTCGCACTGCGCCTCAAGTGTATCACAGAGATGGGACCGGATAGGATCACTCAGCTCTAGTTCCAGCAATTCGAGGATCTCTGGGATAACGATGGTACACCAGCTATTGCCGCGTGCCCACCTTGCGTCCGCAAAATTATGTCCCCCATTCTTATGTCCACCATTCTCGAATCTCCAGCCGTGGAAGAAGAGACCCGTTTTTGTGTCAAAGAGATACTTTACGTGGATAAGACATTGTCGCTTCGCCTCGGCAATATATTCAGGTCGATGAAGGAGTTTTCCGATTTTAGCAAGCGGCATCACAGTCATCATAAGAGTATCGTCCCAGAGCTCCTGGTCATTCTCCGCGACGTAGGTGATATGCTGCATACCACCATACTTGGTGCGTGGCAACTCGTGCATCGCCCATTCGCCCCATGCATCGAGCCAGGGGAGGTAGGTAATATTACCTGTCTTCTCATAAACATAGGCAAGAGTCAGGAAGACAGACATCGTGTTAATATTTTTAGTAGTACCGCCTTCAGCAAAGCGCTCAGCAAACCAGTCCTCGATAATCTTAAGGTACTTGGCCTGGCCCGTTATTTCGTAGAACTTCCATACACCGTACAGCCCGATGCCATGGGTCCATTCCCAGCCGTTCCAGCATTTCGCCTGAATGGTGCGGCCATCTTTCAGGTGCAGGAGAAATTGACCCGTGTCATCGCGAATGTTGATGAGATTGCCAATGAGGAGGTCAATGACATGGTGGATTTCGGAGGCGGGGGGTTTCGATGCCATGGTAAAAGCAGGACGTGTCGCACGCAGCTCGATTCATGCCACGGTGTAAGGCTCACAATACGTACTTAAGCATTAATGGACCGGCATTCCCCCGTTTCTCTCCCCGCTACACCCATTTCCAACTCCACAATTCTGACCTGCACGTAGCTGGGTGTTCGGGTCATTACAGCCCGATATATCGGAAAACTCCATGCTAAACAAGAATGGATTGCCGGCTGAATTACCTCGGTGGGCCCAGCTTCGGGTGATTTGCTGTCATGGGGGTAAATGAGGGGAGGGTCTCCACCCCAGCCTGGGGAAATGCTGATAGCCCTAAACGACTGGATCTCGTCTGGCGGACTGGTTAGAATAGTATGTATTTTGGCACAGCAATGATTCAGCGTCAGCCACTGATTATGCTTCTCTAGATGAACAATGCCTTTGTGATATTAGTGACGTGTGCCTTCAAAGGAAAAACTCCCTCAATAACAAGATAGGGTTGACTCAGAGCAACAGGGAGCTCTTTTGTCCTCGAAGATTGATGCGAATTAGTAGCAACGAAAACATACTACCTAAAAAAGATAGTAGAACTTTGTCTTACTAGGAAAGATTTCCGGGAATGATAGTTGATTCACTTCACTGAATTCACCGACTTCTAAAGCCACCTTCTCCTTGCTAGTAGACTGTCGCCTACAAGAGCCAATCTTCAACCTTCAACCCTCCAATCTGCCAGACTTTATCACTCCCGCTCTACTTCAGCTCTTAACATCTTATCTGACCAATCAGTTACGCCCATGTTCTAAGCCAAGATTCTACTAGACTACTAAAATGAGGTATATCGTAAAGAGCTTGTTACTGAGAAAATATATATATTCGATAGAGTACTATAATGATGTATTACAGGTCCCAATCTTCTACTCGGGGAGTCTAGGGAAGCATTTGGTCCTGGCAAGTTATATAACTTGTTTGTATGTGTGTTCGAAGACCGCAGATTATTATGCTGGCACCGTACCATCAACACTCATTGCCCGAATAGACATCATCCGCAAGTTATCAATATCCCATTGCCACAAATCATTTGGGGATCTCCCGGCGGGAAGCGTTGTCCCTGGCGGATAAACGTCATCACGGCGGAAAGTGAGGGTCTGGGGGCGGGTGGTGTTGATATAGGAAAAATATCCTAGGATATAAAATACTGGTTAGCGGCTTCCTGACCAGTCAAGCCACAGGGAGGACTTCTGTTGGCTAATACTTACAATGTGAGTGGGGGTGGGGGCTCCGCGGCGAAACAGCTCCAGATAGCCGGCCACCGTACTATTGGTACGCTTGTTCCACTTTACAAGAACAACCACGTTCACAGTAGGTGCAGCCTGGAAACACACATCTTTGTCTTGGATTAAGCTTGGCCATGACTGCGAATAGCCCACCTCGACCAAAACTGTGGGAAGGTTCATAGACCCGTAGACGAATACCATGTCCGGCTCTATATAAATTGATTGCCATGGTACCGGGAAGTTATCAAAACCTATACACCATTAATAAGTGTAGATCAGTTATAGAGAACATCAATTTTCTTACGGCATGTCGCGAGGAGCAAGACTTCATCTAGCTCCGGGGTCGTAAAAAACCGGTCATCCCGGCGCGAACTAGCTCATTTGAACCCCAGGCCACAATGATATCGTGTAAATGGGAGGGCATCTTGATCCATAACGTCTGATTGATTGGATTGTACGAGATGCGGACGCTTTTTCTTTCCACTTCGTTATCTTCAGACAGGCTCCTCGCAACGAGATAACCGATCTCCGGGGGTATCCCCCCCTTCTCAATGAAAGAAGGACCGACGGTATCAATTACCTCCCTTTAAGGGCGTTAAAAAGACTTTGAGCGGTTGGGGGTGGGGGATTATTGGTGTTTCTGCTCCTGAGGACTCGGTCATATGAAATAGAGGGGTGTTGGGTGATGGACGCGACACTGTCGACGGAGGAAGATTCAGATGGTTGGCTTTTGTCAGCAGCCATAATGATGATACTGGTGGTGGTGTCGAAGCTGGGGAGTAAAAAAGACAAGCAAATGAAGTGAATGGTATGTAGTAACACCAAGAGTGGTTGAGGAAAGATTTTGCTGATATTTAGGGGAAACTAAGGTGAAGTAAACAAGAGTGAAAGGCAGAAGGGAATATAACTGAGCACTATTTGTGCCGCTGAAGAATACACGCTGGGAAATTTTGCAAAGTCAGCATGACGGTTGATTTATCAGGTTGAGCTTCCATGGCTACAACCAACATGCCCAAGGTATAATAATGGCTTAAATTACCGGAACGCCAGTAAGGGGTGAGCTTCTCAGAGCCAGCTCTGTAGCTACCCGCTTATCATAGTCTAATATCTATATCTTCTCTTTATCCACCCTAGTATATGTCCCAAAAATAGTATTGATAATTCTTTAGCTGAAAGATCTCTCACATATTTGAATATCAGTTCGGTATGAAGGAATCATTCAACGAGGGTGCTAAAGAAGAGACGGTGTCCATGATCCTACTAAAACATCCTAAGAGGTGCAAAATATCCATTCATAACAACCAAATTCCTATCAATAACTAGACAGAGAGGCCTTCCTGGGTCTCATCATTGCCTTCCATAAGCAGACCCTCGACGCAAGACACGACGACAACACAAAAAGTCCTCCACCAGGCAGGTCAAATAGAGCCGTACGCATAGATCATCATCCACCTATCTCGTTCCCTTCCGAAGACGTTTGTTTCCCTCGACATCTGGAATCCCAGAAGTAGATTTGTCCTTGGCATCAGGCACATCACTGGAGCTTGAATCGTCATTTCCTCCGATATCAGGGAAGTCGTCGAAGATTGGTGGCCACTCGGTGGGCCATGGGAATGGAAACTCCCCAGAATCATCGTCGTCGCCTGGTGGTGTGGTAGGCGACGGCCGGGGTGTGGGCGTCGGCGTCGGTGTCGGCGTCACGGTGGTAATTGATGGCTCTTGCCAGTTCTTCCACATACGTCTTTCGTTCTGTGGCTTATGAGGGACTGCGAGGACTGCGGTGCTCAGACCGAGAAAGAGAGCGATGATTTGGATCCTCATCTTTAGGAAGTTAGGACTATGGACACAGTATCAAATGTCTGGTTCGACACTGAGGGTTCCTAGGATACAGGTTCAAGAGATAGAGAAGATGGTATAACCCCTGAGGAGAGACTTGAATACCACGGTATGAAGATTGCGAAGAATATCAGACGGGAGCAATCGCTCTGTTTATATGTATGGAGAAAGGCCCAATCCACGCTCCTGCGTCACAGTGGGAAACAGGCATACGTAACCTCAATATTACCAAGTAAAAACATTCTGGGATACTACGCAAATGATAAACTCCTTTCTGTGAAATGGATGGTATGTTTGCTGCCTATTTTCTGGGTCGTTTCTGGTTTCGCCTCACACAGCAATCCAAAGACCAAAGTCTGGACAAGCGTCGACTCCGGTAAACATGACGATCGAGCAAATAGAATCCAAAGGCTATCTTCGTAGGGTAAACTTGTCGAAGATCAAATAAACAAGATTGAGTGGGATGCTTGATTATTGTGGAGCGAAACATGCTTATCCTCTCACAGCCGTAAGCCACTTGTGCTGATATACGTGTGCCACAAATTGGGGTTGGTGATACTCATTGCGTTTGTCCAGGTCCGCGATCACAGATTGGCTCGAGTTTTTCAGCTGAAAATAGAATTCCGAAGAACGTATATCGTTACACATTCCAACACTGACGAAGACAACCTTTCACCATGAAAGCTAACGGCGCTACTTTCACTCCGATGCGTAGCAATTCACCATCCCTTGAACAATAGAGAGTTAAACCGAAGCAACTTTGAGGTGTGTTTTACTTTTACCTTGGCCATTTTATCGAGCATTTCAGAAGACGTACGTTATGAGAGGAAATGGTGTAGTTTTGTTTGTTAGCACATACTTCCAACAACCCCGGCATCTAAAGTCAAAGGATTCTCCGACTGGCGTACTCCTGTGTAACCAGATTGCGAATCGCCGGGAAAACGGTCGTCATCATGGGGATCGATATTTGTCCGAAATTTGAAGTGACGTTGTGTGAAACGAATAGCATGAGGGAACATATCAAAAGTCATACAATGCTTGTTCTGGCATCCTTGCCTTGGGAGGTTGAGACAATATCCATGGATGGCGAACTTTGATATCGGTCAGCGAATGATGGTGATCTGTGTCAGCCTTATCTTCAATTGTTGTGAGTGAGTCAGCTTCTTCGCTTTCCTGTCTTGTCCCGTCTTTTCTCTGGCCGATGGTGAATTCCGTCAAGGCAACCAGGTACTTCGCCTGGGAACTATCGGATTTCCATAATTCTAGAGTCTAGGGATTTACCTTGAGTTTAATCATTTGCTGTAAATTCCTTTGCGTGGTATCTCTACTATATTAGCGCTTCTGGCTTCCAAGCCAGCTAAAAAGATGATGGATGCATTCATCGGCCAAGTTGTCTACTGAATTCCAGTACCAGTAGACTTCATATAAAGCCGTCATCCTCAGTGCCAGCTGATAGCTATAAACACAGCTCGCCGATGCCCAAAAGGTCACAGCCATCGTGTGCATAGCCGCGTGGCTCAAAGGAAAACCGAAAGACAAAATCAGGAAATTTGCGAGTGTGCAGCAGAGAGCTAGAGCTCTTGAGTCAGCATATTGCGCGTTCTTGAACAGTGTGCAAGAATCATTTACGTATACTGAAGTCGTTGTGTATGAATGTAGTCGTAAGCGCGGTGAAGAATATATCTATACCAAGAAGCCTGGTGACTTGATGAGCATGTAGTGCTATTATTAGACCATAGCAAATAAGCAAGTCATTAAAATCACGACGAGATACACCGCAAGAAGCACCAAATGCAGCAGAACCTGGTAAGAATGATGCCGAGAGGATCTGCAAACCTCGCTTTCCTTCAACTAAGAATAGCATCAAGTTTTTCCCGTCCGGATTGCATCTGGAAGAGCGTGTAGAGATAAAAGTTGCGGTGACTTGGATGGCGTGCTCTAAGTCGATATGCATTTTAACCAAGGACAGTCCTAAGGTTAAAAGTCGATAGCCAAACGCTAAGTTGGGATATCACATCTGACATATCGTATTGGCATTAGCTGCAGATGATGTGTGTCTTATGCGTTCGGTACCCACCCAAAGTCAATGAGCCTAGCTATCAAGACTTAGAATGAACCGTTCATGACATGTTGGAAAGTGGACTTGCCGTTGTAGGAAATAGAAACATTTAATGCGCCAAGTGTACATCGCCGAACATCCCATTCGGCGGTGAATGTACAGGGCTGGGTTATACAGAGTTTTTATTTTATTTTTTGACTAGGCAACGGTCGAACAGTAGTAGCCATTGTCATTGTGATCTTTGAATTACCAGCGTTGTTTTGTTCGAAATGTCTGGCTGCAGTGATTAGCGATTAGTGGCCATATACGGAGTAAAACTTCTCGTGTATAATTGGCTTCATTGATAGCAAACTCTTTCAGCACTTGCAACAATACGGGATCTGCAACTTTTCGCATTATCAAAAGTAGATAGATAACCTCCTTCTTGATCCAGCGACACGGCTCACGAGGATCGTCAAAGTCTCCTTCGGCGTGTTGTTTGGCTCGTTTCAATCTCCGGCCGGCGATCGCAAGGAGAAGACAGGGTTCTTCTATAGCTTGTAATCTCGTTATAATACCAGAAGGGTACAAATCCATGATTGTTATTAGCTATTCAATGCCCTTCCTTGGAAGGGGCCGTATCCCTGCGAGCGCGGAACCCGAGCAGTGACAATGGGGGCCTGAGCTTGTTTCATCGAGAAACATAGAAAGGAAAAAGAGAGTAGTAATTTCGGCTGGAGGCACTATTGGAAACAGGCCAATAGTATGTGTCAAGAGCTTTATGAGTCTTGGAGTTCGCCCTAGATAGGAAAAAGTGAAGGTTGGGAAAGACAGATCACCTGTGCCCCTCGCGTCAAGTCCAACGCACGCTGGACCCTAGTCTGTGCTTGCGACGTGCTGCACTCATCGTGCCCCAACATAGTGAAGCTTTCCTCCTATCGGTCAGCCCCAAAAGAGACAACAGGAGAGAAGGAGGAAAATGAGGGATCAAATCTCAAAGTCAGATTTGGTAATTGACCTTCTCACGGGCTTCCTTTGCGGTGTGCCAGAATCGCTATATAAAGTCGGCGTTTTGTCCTTCAGCCTTCATCATTTGTTTACTCAATCGCTAAATATTTATAGTTCTTTGGTTGATTTACATCACTTGCCTTGTGATACCCTTTATATTTTTCTACTTACTACAGCCTCCTAATATCTCCACAATGCGTTTCTTCCAGATCGCTTCGATTGTTGCCTATGCGGCCTCTTCCCTCGGTATGTGTTTGTCACTTCCTCTGCAAACTTAGAAGCAACATTCTAATCCTGGGATCTAGCTGTCACTGTCACTTCCCCCCAGAACGGGGACAAGGTTGACTTCAGCAAGCCTTACACCATCAAATGGACCACTGTCCCGTACGTACTCAGTTGGACCAACACCGACGGGCGAAGCAATGGAAACACTGACTCGGATTGCCTCTAATAGCTCGGACCCCGAGCAAATCAACATCGTCCTCAAGAACCAAACCAGCTCCGAGAAAGACATTGCCAAGGACGTCAAGACTTCGGACGGCAAATACACTATCGACAAGATCTGGGACATTGAGACAGGGTGTGTCCATCCTACGAGCGGGACCTAGAATTCCTATGCTCCTCTCAATTTTGAGCGTGAAGACTAATTCTCCACCCCCCAAATTAGCGATGGCTACCAGTTCAATTTCGTATCCAACTCGAAGATGAATACCGGCATTCTGGCACAGTCGCCGATCTTCAATGTGACGGCTGTCGCTGACCCCCCCAAGCCATGTAAGCAATATTTCAGTACTAAAATCACCAAAACACCATCATGCACCCACACCAGCACCAGCACTACAATCAAAACAAGAACCACTTCCCGTCCCTGCATCATCCACAGCACTCTCAGCACCTCTAAACCTTCACCATCATCATCCCGTGCGCCATGCTCTCCGTCATCTAGCACCGTCGCCCCGTCCAACTCCGTGAACAAGGGTGAGTACGTCGTGGTTTGCAACCAAATGGTTTTACTAACGCAGCCCGTTCCCAAACAACAGCCTCTACTGCCACGAAATCCGCCTCGAGCACCTCCGCTGCTCCGACCGAGTCGACCGGCGGCTCTGCAGCACTTACGATCCCCGCCGCCGGCTCACTGATGCTCAGTCTATTCGCCCTGGTGCTGTAATCGCAGATTCGGAGAACATGAACGTGTATAAACTTGGAATTGATGCTATGAGGTAGTATTACTTCTTTTTGCTCTTTTCAATTTTCTTTTCCTGTCTATCTTTTCATCATGCGCTAGCTGTTCGGTTCATGAGATAACAAACTTTTATGTATGTACGCAATCTATTAATGAACTTTATTTTTTTTAAAAAAATTTATATGCGTCGCTATTAATTCTTCTGAATTATTGTTAGTTAATTTTTATTTGCCTATCTCTTTTATCTCTCGGTCTTATCGTTGTCCGGATTGGACATGTCATACGTGATGTTCATGGCAGAGGCAATAAGTATGCAAGGGGGGTCGGCACTCTACGTGCAGGCATACGGCCGCATAGAGTTTACTAGACTTTGCATGTACATACGATATATGTACATGTCGAACTCTGATTTTTAGGACCATTCACTTTCTCATTGATAAACCGTACATGACGAACTTGATGCTGGCAGTTTTCTATGGTACTCGGGAGGCCCTCGGCGTACCATGCATTGACTGGTATATTTGAGTCTATATATTGAGCTTTTCATACCAAAATCATATACGAGTAATATGTTCAAACAGGGTTTTAGCATATTGTACCCAATAGATCTCAGTCCCAGTTTCCATCTTAAGCTGGGATATAGCTTCAGAGACCCAGCCTGGAATATTCTTTAAAACAGAAGCTCTGGTAGAGTATTTTCAAATCCTAGGTCATCCAACCAGCTGAGGAAGTCAGCGCTAGTGCCAAAAGTCGCCAGGTCTGGTAAATCCTCAACACTCGCCAAGGGCATCACAGAGCCAGAAGAACTTTCTTCAAATAGTCCATGGTCCTGAATAAGGTCTGGCATTTGCTCTGCAGATCGGTGCGAGGGCTGATAGTTCAAAGTATCATCTAGCAATTTTGTTATGACTTTGTTGATATCCACGCAGGTTCGGTTTGTGTGGCTTATGGAAGGATCAGCACTACCAAGCCACGAGACGAAGACACTTAGTTTACGGATGATCTCGGAGCGGGACGAAGAGCAGGGCACCGGGGTTTCTGCGATAGTACACCGATGTATTTCTGTAGCAAGGACACCTGCAGGTGCAAGAGCATTGAAAAGAAGCTACGGCGTAGAGGTTAGATAGCTATTGGTTGGACAGGTGGCAAGGCAGAACTCACAATGCAGAGGAAACGCTTAAGAATATTATTGCCTGCCTGCTCGCGGTGTTTCATGAGATCGTTGACCGCGGAAATTACCTTCATTGATGTGTCAAGGAGATCCTTCGTATCGTCCTGGTTTTCGCGGCTGCGGATCCGCTCCACTTGAAACACAGTATACAGGTATTCGAAATGTGCGAGTATAAGTGAAATGCATGATTGGGGGCTTAGCACCTCCCAGGAGTCTGCGCTATAGTGGTATTCTTGGGGAATTTGTGTCCACATTTGTAGGCACTGCTCGTAGGTCGTTCTACTAAACTGTTAATATTGGCTATATCAGAAAACGTCCTTGCAGCTATACCGGAGCTTCTCGGTGAAATCTGGCGTTCTTCGTCCTAGCGATAGTTCTAAAATTTGTTCAAGAAGTACGGATATCATAAAGCGCAGCCTAAGTAGCGTTGCATGGCGAAGTGTGCCACTGTTGACGCCTTTGATATTCCACCCGTCAGGCCCTAGTTGCTGCAATAGTGGTTCAGGAGAGTCTTGATCGAGTATCAAGTCATCTTCTATGTCTAATGGTAGACTTGTCTCGCAGTAGTGATAGGGGAGGCGAGGAGGCCTTCCCAGAAGGGTAGCCAAAGTCTTGTCCCAACGGTATGAAGTAACAAAAAGCCTCTTTCGCGTCTCAGAGATGAAGAAAGGAACGTCATTTTCGGATGACTGAAAGCGATGTAGACCCAGTGCATAAATATGAGACACCAGATCCCCAAGCAGCTCATAGTTTCGATGACCTAGTCGAAGTGTTAGCTCTGGCCTAAAACTCTCAATTCCATAAATTTAGTACTTGTTTCTCCGAAAAAGTCACCGGCGAGCGCGCCATGTGTTAGATATAACCATATCATCAAATCATTGACTTTATCAAGTTGCTTGCATATATCGATGCATATGGCACTGGCTGCAGTCATTTCTTCTGCAAAGACATTGGCGGACATCGACTCTTGACCATTAATCTTGAACAGTTTCCCTTCGCCACTCAATGCACCTAATCCTGCGAAGGCAAATATGATGCCGATGAATTCCCATCTCAAGTTTGCGCCGGTGAACATAGTGTAAAAGTCCCATGGACTTGAGGTACTACGCAAAGTAGGAAATGGCCTGGCTGTATTCCGTGTAATCTTAGAATATATCTCTTCGTGCTGCAGATCCTTACCCCAGCCGTTTGTTTCCAAATAAGTCCTGGCCATTTTAAGAGGTTGTAGGATGAGTTGCAATGGGATAATAGTAGTCGGGGTGCGCTCATAGTGACCTACAATCAATTCTTCGTAGAGCTGAAAGGCAGACAGTAGCCGAACCAGGCGCGATGCCAGGAATGTATGCTCATGGCTCCATCGCCCTTGTAGGACTGCATGCGGTATGGGATTTGGAGACAAGCCTGGTTGTGTTTCACAAAAAACCGACAAGAAGCTCGTTGACCCTAGGTAGGTGCAGTTTAATGTGGATACCTCGGTGAGGGCACTGGTAAGGGAATGATCGATCTCTTGGTTGATTCTTGTACGAGGAGCCACATCGGGCTCGCCTGCAGAGACTTTGCTCAGCTTTGTCATAGGAGCTGGATGATAGTAGCACTATGGCTGCATCAGAAAATTCATCATTTCTAGTTTCATATCATTCTCACCTTCTTGCTGAGGCGTCGGCTGTCGCATCTTTTACATGTAGGCCTTCTATGATCACATCTAATCTTCGATACACGACACGGCTCACAGGAGGTTAACCGTCCATTCTTCCTTAATATATTGACCTTCGCAACTTGATCCATTTCACAGAGAGCTTTACCCCCGAGAATATTAAGGGAACAAGATAGATGTGGGGAAAGGATAGAAGGTGAATGGGAGGAAAGGTCAAGTAGTTGGCTTATGTATCGGACTAGATGTAGTCCGACCGGTACAGTTAGTCCGATCTCTACTCCGAGACGGAGCAAGTACTAATGTACAGTTACACTCACATTAAAAATAAAATCTAAACTAACAAGTGTGGAGGAA